TTAAATAATCATAGCTGGACTTGCTTGTGGCAGATACTAAGAGAAAACGAAATTGTGTGTGTGTGTGTGTGTGTGTGTGTGTATGACATATGACTATAGTCATACATGATTAGAGTTCTTCTCATAACGTATTTAAGCCTTTCAAACTGATGAGAAATGCCTAAGTGTTATTATTTTAGCAGGCACAATTCTTACCATCTGAGTTGCCCACTTTCTGTCTGTCTGTCTGTCTGTCTGTCTGTCTGTCTGTCTTTGACAAAAGTCTAGGGTCCAAATGTTTAAGGTCTGGAACACAGCAGTGGTATAGAAGAAGGCAAAACCTTGTTCACAGCACGGATCCCTGAAAATATCAAAACACTGCTGTCATCGCCCTTTGTGACGGCAGCCCTTCAGCTGTTTGCTCAGTTTCTACGAACTTGGTGATGAATGAGGTTTTCCAAGGGCTTTTACACACAGCTCTATTATTTCACTGGGGCTCACTGAGCACTTTAAACAGATGAAGACAAAGAAAGCCAGCCATATAATTCAGTGTCTGATTGCTTTTCCACATGTCAGTCTTGAACAGCACAACTCTCCCCTGAGTAGCTTCGAGTGGCTGCCTGATTGAATCTGGTGAAGGCTGATAAATTTTGGAATGCTCTTTCAACACAAGGAAAACAGCATCAAGATGGAACATGTACTACAGCACTCTGTACCTGGCAATCCATGCATCACAGCGTGCAGCAGACAGGGAGGGGGGAGAAGCTACTGAGACTTCTCCATCCTCTTCCAAGTTATTACCAGTACCTGGAGGACACGAGCTGCTCCGTATGTTTTGAAGTGTTAACTGTAATCATAGTGTTTAAATAATAGGTTATTGCTTTTATAATGATTTTTAAGAGTGAGCACTTCCAGAAATAATTTTAAATACAGTGAGGAAAAATAGATGGGACTTACTCTCTGAACAACGTTTTTCTCTTGCCCAGGAAAAGAAACGTTGCACTTACATTGTTTTCAACATGTGCATCCAGGCGCATGCGTGCGCACACAGAGGCCAGAGGTCAGTGTAGAGCACCCTCCTCAATCATTCAACGCGCCATATTTTTGAGAAAGGGTTTCTAACTGAATCAGGAGTTCATCCATTGGCTAGACTGCCTGACCAGAACTCCAGCAATACACTTGACTCCAACCTTTGGCAATGGAATTACAGACGTATGCCACATACCTGAAATTTTACGTCAGTATTGAAGATATGAACTCAAGTCCTCATGTTTGTGCACCAAACATTTGACCCCCTAAGCCTCTCCACTGATTTTAATGTGACAACTTTTTCAAGACAGGATGCAAAGGGTAGTACACGGAATCAATCTATAGGCTATGACTTTAGAGGCCAGGTAAGGAAACCCAATCACACTAGAGGGAGTGGCACAGGAAAAAGAGAACAGGACTTAACCTTGGGATTTATTTTGTGTAGGTGGTGTGGGAGACGGAAGTGTTTGATCACATCTCCACCTCCGTGGTTCTACTTAATTTCAGATACATCACCTCTTGGTGCTTCATCAACATCCCTTGAGAGTGTTTTTTGCTTGTGTATTACTTAGAGTTATTTTTAAAGGCTTTAAGGAACACATTCTTAGTAGATTCTTTTCCTTGGATTCCAGGCAAAGTCTATTCCACACACCTAAATAACAACAGCTCGTGGGGGAAAATATGCATAATCAATAGTCTGTCCACTGATTCAAATACCCCCGGGGTTCATTTTTGCAGTTTGTCGTACATATATTCCAGGCGCAAGAACAGTTGGTGACTATGGACTCATGCACAGCTGTTTTAGTCCTATTAGGGCATAATTATTTTCAAGTACTTTGCAAGAACAGATGTTTTTAGAGCATGATAAGTACATGTCTTTCTTCGACAGGTGCTTTTACATTGCATAAACAGAACATTGATAGCCTATTGTCCTTTTGATACTGGAAGGTAGGGTAGAAGCTACAGCCATAGGTTTTTCTAAACATTGATTATCAGAGACATTCTCTTCTTTCCCTGCCCGAAAACACCAGCAATTTCTCTCCTTCATTTACTTTCTCTGAGAACAGCATTTCCCTCTGTTCTGGCTCAGATCCTCCACACCTCCTCCCATTGGATTCTTTGAACTTGACTTTTCCTCATGAAGTCTCTGTAAGCTGGAGCAAGCTGAATGCACCAGTGTCCTATACAGAATGTCATCTTCTCTGTTGGGTTTGTACCTGCTCCAAATCCCTGAGTTTAGATAACAGCTTATTTCCTAGAAGTCTAGATGCACTTCTGCTTGAACTTGCTGCAAAGTCCCCTCCCATATTGTTAGTACATAAAATCTGTTACCATGGTAAATAATATTCTGTCACACAATCATCAGAAGAGGCTGCCAATCTTGTCATTTTCCCATAAGCAGAATATGCACAGCTCTCAAGGAACATTTTTCCTAGCCAGAGGACACGATCTGAAGATCTATAAGGATGGAACACAGGTGGGGCTATGAACATGTTAGGTGATTCTCCAATGTAAATATAGAAAAGTATCTTTGTGGTACTTGATCTCTGAGGTTTGTGAAGTGTGTTTTTTTTTTTGTTTGTTTGTTTGGTTGGTTGGTTGGTTGGCTGGTTGGTTTTTTGTTTGTTTGTTTGTTTTGTTTTTGTTTTTTGTTTTTTGTTTTTGTTTTTGTTTAGATAAATATAGCCAAACAAATGAGTTCAGGACCCTTCTAAATTCAGAATATTTTGAGGTGCTAGTTAAAATGAGAGATTGATTTCCCTTTTCAATTTTTCTCTTCCCAGATAAACCCAGCCTCCCCTCCTGCATTCAGTATTCACATTCAATGCCACCTCCTGGTTCCCACGGCTTCATCAGGCAATCAAAGCTTCAGATTTCTTTCCAAATGACCATTACATATCCACCTCAGCTCATGGCCAGTCACCCACCAACACTTACACACTGTGTGTCATTTGTGTGCCTTGCTATGGGCTTGGAACAGCAGAGTAAAAATCGCTATTATACTTACACATATTGTTCAACTAAAGGATATTTGGGCAGAAGACAGCACACATGCAGAGCTAGGAAAACAAAATGAACACAAGAAGAATTCATTGAATTTGCATATCCATAGAGAGAATCTGGCTTAGCTTCCTATTCATTTTCATACACTCCTGTCTGACTGGGAAAGGGTACTGGTCCTTCCCAGGTCAGACCCAACATTAGACACATGCATCCTCTTAAAAGATGTTAAGTGAAATTTCCTTGCAGATGTAGAATTCCAGCAGAAAAGCAACACAAAGGACAGTAGCAAGTGGTTTAAAACCTATCATCCATAGAGAGGTGTTAGATTACTCACATAAGACTTAACCACTGGTGACAAGACAGTCCATCAGTGTCCTGTACCTTACCTCTAGCCCAAATAAGAGAGATCTAGAGATTAGTTAAGGTTCTATTTAAAGGGTGTGTGTAGAGACAGAAAAAGTTGGGTACAGTGACTTCCCTTCTGCCACCCACAAGGAGCACAATCTGTAAAGAAAAAAAGAGTTCACCAGTCATCCTGGGACTTTCCTTAGGGAAAAGGCCTTGCAGATGGTTTCTTGCTATATTTATAAGCAGTCAGCCCTATGCAAATTACTAATACAGACTGCAAGAAAATTCTTGAGAAATTAATACAAATCTCTAAAGTTGGGGGAAATTCATTCAGCAAAGACATTGTCAGCCCCATGCCCTTAAAAGCATAAAACAGGAATCAGTTTCCGGCAAACGACAACAGGACAAAAATTACAGGGCAAAGAAGGAGGGCAGCATTTACTGAAACCTCAGTGATGATGTTTGATGTTTCCTGTGGTCAAGGGACCCTTTAGACAGGAGCAAGAAAGAAAATGCCTTGAAAGGCCCACATTAAAGAAGTGTACTGCTGAAAAAGCTTTTGCCATCAGGAAGAGCCTGTGTATGCCATCGGGCAGGAAGGATTGCAACCATCTGCAAGCCAGGAAGAAACAAATTGTCTGACACCTTGATCTTGGACTTCCAGCCTCCAGAACTGTTAGAAGGTAAAGCTGCTGTTGTTCAGGCTGCTCTGTCTGTAGCTGGAAAAAAAATAAAACAAATTCATAAAGATCCTGAGTCATCGAAAGGCCATGTGCACTGACCTCTATGAGGAAAGAAGTGAAGAAGAGAATGGAGAGATGGACACTGCGTGAACCCTGGTACAAGCGAGAAGCATCAAGGACCAGGGAACAGCAGCAGCCTCATCATTCTATGTTTTTCTTCTACGTTTACTCTCCCCACACTACTGACCCTGGTGGGAGCAAGGAACTGAGCATGCAGGGAAAGTAATGCAGGAGCAGCCCAGAGGGGAGAGAGAAGCTACAGGCTCCTCACCAAAGCCAACTAGACTCTGGACTGAATAGGAAAGTGAAGCTTGAAGTAGATTGTGTGTGTGTGTGTGTGTGTGTGTGTGTGTGTGTGTGTGTGTACATACACATGCATATGTGCAAACACACACTTGGGATAAGGCACATGTGGATGTAATAATAACCTTGAGGAACAATGATCAGCTCTATTCCTGTGTGAGACAGGGGGCCTTACCTGCTGCTGTGTATGGCATGCTAGCTGGCTCTCACACTTCCCAAGTTCCTTCTGTCTCCATCTCCCACCTTGTCGTAGAAGAACGGAGATGACATGTACCACTGTGACTTTTCAATGGTCTCAGGAAATGTAAGCTCAAGTCCTCCAGTTTTGCAGTGAGTGATTTGCTGAACATTCCCTAGATGGACTTTTTAAAGCCACTTTAAACTGGAGTGTTTTTATAAATGAAAAGATCAGAAAATTACAGCCTTCCCAGAGATTGGGGGAAAATAAAAACATTCTCCCAGGAAATGTGGTAGCAGAAGAGAGAGCCATTCTTGGTTAAGCCAGATCAGCTCTGTCAACAAACTATGTTACTAGTTCTGCCAGAACGTATATAGCTGAAAGGCACAGAGATGAAATGCAAAACATTCAAAGTGGATGTTCCTAGAAGAACTGCAAGTGTGGCTGCTGTATCTCATGTGTGTTAGGAGGTGGCAAAGAGGAAGGAGACATGTCTACCCTCAGGGGTCTGACCTGTGAACATCTGAATGATTAATAGTCTAACTCCCTGAAAAAAAGCGAGCCTGAAATGACCACCAGTCAGGCACCACACAAGCATGGTGGGGACAGATCATCATGGCTGAGATGACCCCTGCCTGGTGCCATAACATACAAAGGGACACGCCACTCCAGAGACAACTTCAGACACTCAAAGACCCCAATTATCACTAAGAGGATCAAGTAAATGGTAGAGATATAGAAGAGAAAGAGAAACAAAAGAATCTGAGCATGGTGAACAGACACAAAACTGGAGACTCAAGGATAGTAAGCAACAACCTGCTTTGAATGGTTGGTGATACCACCTGGGACCATGATAGGGTCCTGACCTGTACTGTCACCAGGGGCCATATCTGGGCCCCTGGCCCTGTAGCAGCAGGAAATCTGTTACTGCCCAAGGCCAGGCAGATGTCTCTGGGCTGGGCTGCCACCCAGCAACATGTTGATATCTGAGGGCTGTGCAGAACTGGTCCCACCCCTTATATGAGCATCACAGGAGAGCTTGCCATAGGAGCATGAGAGGAAGAGAGCTGACCCCACTCCTAGGCAGCTGCAGTACTCTGGAGAGTGGCCTCACACATTGTGAGAATTTCAAGTGAGCTGGCCTCAAGAATCTGAGCAAGAAAGAGCTGGCCTTGTCATTCATCTCCCATGCAGTGGCAAGGACAAGGGAAAGATATCCTCCTCTCCACTTACCCCTCACCATCTGTAGCAAGCAGGAGATCTGGCACTGGGGTCCTGAAAGCAGGAGAGCTCCCTGCCCCTCGCCACCTGCAGCATTTGGGAGACTGGGCCCTGTACCTCCCCTGTGGAGCACAGTAGAGCTGTTCTTAGATGTGAGGGTTGTAGGTGAGCTGGCCCCAAGGGCATGACTGTGGGAGAGCTGACCCTACTACCTCTTATCTCCTATGCAATGGCATTAGTGAGGGAAAGATCTTCTCTCCCTTTTGCCCTTGCCACTTGCTGTAGGAGGGAGTGCTGGCCCAGTCCCTCATCTGCTGCAGTACTCTGGCAAACAGGCCCTAAACCTCACCTAGACAGCACAGTAGAGCTGGTCCTGGACATGGTGGTTGCAGGAAAAACAGCCTGCCTCTTGTCTGCTGTACACTGGCATAGATGAGACAGAGATACCTACTTCCCCCTTCTCATTCCTTACTGGCTATGGCAGGCAAGAGAGTTTATCTTGGGGGTCACGAGAGTGGGAGAATTGGCCATATCCCTCACCAGCTGCAACACTAGGAAGATAGGACCCTGTACCTCATCTGGGCAACAGGGTAGAGCTGACCTTGGTGGTGTGAGGAGTGGGTGCTGCTGGTGAGCCAGCTCCAAAAACATGAGAGCAGGACAGCCAGCAGGATGACCAGTTAACATACCTCTCAGGCCCAGATCCAGGGCTTCAAATGGCCCTACCTCAACGTGTACCCTATCCATAAGCTGCTAGAATGCATGAAGGGGCTGGTCTTGCTTTAGGATCTCCATTACACAGGGCAACAACAGGATATCTGAGAGGAGTACAAGTGAGGTTCCTGTGTTGATAGAGTAGAAGCCAGAGGCCTTGGACCAAAACAATGAGTCACTGCAACGAACATTTACAAGCAAAAAGTATGGGGAAAAGGGTATATTGTGGGAGACTACACTGTGATACACTACAGCTTCTACAATAAGATTTTTTTCTTTGTTGGGGGGTTGATAGGGTGGAGGGCAGATACAAAGGGACAGGAGATGAATGGGATTGGGGTGCATGATGTAAAATTCACAAAGAACCAGTAGAAAGCTAGGCAGAAAGAAAGAAAGAAAGAAAGAAAGAAAGAAAGAAAGAAAGAAAGAAAGAAAGAAAGAAAGAAAGGAAGGAAGGAAGAGGAAGGAAGGAAGGAAGGAAGGAAGGAAGGAAGGAAGGAAGGAAGGATTATTATAAAGCATTTAAAAAAAAACCACTCACAATGCCAGCTGGCTCAGCTCCTACGAGGGCTCCCCTCCTACCTTACAGATAACTGTTTTCTTTCTATGTCTTCACATAATGTAATGGCATAGGACACTTTCTGGTTTCTCTTCTTATAAGTACACTAATCATGTGATTGCAGGGCCCCACCCTATGGTCTCATCTAAACATACTATTTCTATAACATTTCTGTATTCAAATATAGTCACATTAGAGTCAGGGCTTTAACACATGACTTTTCAGGGGACAGCTCCATCCATAGCAGTATCACTACAAAATAACTGAGAAAGACAGAGGACGAAAAGAGAGAAAAATAGGTAATGGAAATCTATAGCAACATATAAAATATTTTCTCACCCAGAAATAAATTGGGGAGAAGCATGTAATTGGATGCTTAAAGCAGCCCTGTAAAAAAAGAATTGCTAATTAAAACTAAGTGAAAAAAATGTCAGAAGAGAAGAGAAATTTGTTTTGTTTTTTTAAATCACAGTAGGAAACAAACACAAATCAAAAGCCTGGGCCACTGTGTTGAGTGAGTGAGTGAGTGAGTGAGTGCATGGGAAATCCGTGGCTGACATGTGAGATGAGTGAGTGAGTGCATGGGAAATCTGTGGCTGATGTGTGAGATGGAGAAAATGAATTTCGGTGGCATGTTGAAAATTCTGTAGGCAATCAAACTTTTTAAATATATTTAAGTGTGTGAAAAGGAAAAAATAAGTTGGCTTGAAGAAAACTTACAAAAAATTATGTGTTCATTTTACTATAAGAACCAAAGTTCTAGCCAACCATTCAAGAATCATCATCCTGACTGAAAGAATAGAAAAAAAAAGCTATGAAATGTGTTGGCGTCTATTTTAAAGTGGTAGACAGACTGGGATGTCTTCACAGAAGAAAACTCACAGTGAGATGAAAATTCAGCAGAATATGGTTCAAGATAGCAGAAACAGCACAAGCTTTTGCCACTTCTCCTTTGAAATTTACTAAAAGGCAGTTTTAAAAGACACAAGCAAGAGATACCATAAAAAGTCTGAGACCAAGTCAAGGTCTGTTTGGGCCACAGTCAGCAGAGGTGAGATGCACATTGCCCCCTGACCTCCATCCTCTAGCCCACTTTCCTTAGGAGGCCTACAGGGGCCCCAGGAACACCCAGCTTAAACCCCTCCTCCACCAATCTCTGGCCAGTCATGCCCACTTGGGGCACAGCCAGCAGAGATGAGCAGCAGTATTGTTCCCTGAGATCCACTGCCAGTCCCACAACTCTGCCTGCCTCCCCAAGGAGCTCTGCTGGCATCTGGAACATCCAACTAACACCCGGGACAACCAGATGGCTAAAGGACAGAGTAAGAACACAATCAACAAGAGTGAGGGCAATATGGCACCACCAGAGACCAGCTATCCAACTACAGCAAGCCCTGGATATCCTAACACAACCTAAACACAAGAAAAATGATCTTAAATCCAATTTTATAAAGATAATAGAGGTCTTTAAAGAGGAAATGAATAAATCCCTTAAAGAAATATGAGAACATACAATCAAAAAGTTGAAAGAAATTAGTAAAACCATCCAAGAATTAAAAATGGAAATAGAAGCAATAAAGAAAACACAATCTGATAGAATTCTGGGAATGAAAAACAAAGGAAAGAGAACAGGAACTACAGATGCAAGCATCACCAACAGAATATAAGAAATGAAAGAGAGAATCTCATGCCTAGAAGAAATGATTGAAGAAATTGAGACATCGGTCAAAGAAAATGCTAAATCTAAAAAGTTCATGACAAAAAAAAAAATCCAAGACACTATGAGACACTATGGAAAGACCAAATCTAAGAATAGTAGGAATAAAAGAAGGAGAAGGTTCCCAGCTACAAGGCCAAGAAAATATTTTCAACAAAGTCATATAAGAAAATTTCCCCTAACCTAAAGAATGATAATGCCTATAAACATATAAGAAGCTTACAAAGCACCAAATAGATTGGACCAGAAAAGAAAATCCTTCTGCCACATAATAATCAAAACATTAAATGTACGAAGAAAGAATTTTAAAAACTGCAAGGGGAAAAGGTAAAGTAAAATATAAAGGCAGACTCATCAGAATTATTCTCAGGAGAACATCTAAAAGCCAGAAGGGCCTGAACAGATGTCTTACAGACTCTAAGAGACCACAGATGTCAGCACAGACTATTATACCCAGCAAAACTTTCAATCACCATGCATAGAGAAAACAACATATTCTATGACAAAACCAAATTTAAACAATATCTATACACAAATCCAGCCCACAGAAGATACTAAAAGGAAAACTGCAACCAACAGAGGCTAACTGAACCCAAGAAAACACGGGAAATAAATAACCTCACACCAGCAAACCAAAGGAAGGAGAATACACACACACACATACATACACACACACACACACACAGAGACACACTACCAACATCAAAATAACAAGAATAAACAATTGGTGCTCATTAACATCTTTCAACATCAATGGACTCAATTTCAAAATAAAACTTCCCACAGGCTAACAAAATGGATGCAAAAATGGGATCCTTCATTCTGCTGCATATAAAAAACACATCTCAGCAACAAAGTAGACATTACCTCAGAGTAAAGGGGTGGGAGAAGATTTTCCAAGTAAATGGACCCAAGAAACAAGCTGGAGCAGCCATTCTAATATCTAATAAAATAGACTTTAGTCAAAGTACTCAAAATAAGTGGGGAAGGACACTTCATACTTACCAAAGCAAAGATCCACCAAAATTATGTCTCAATTCTTAACATGTATACCTCAAAGTCAGGGCACTTATATTTGTAAAAGAAATATTACTAATGCTTAAATCATATATCAAACCCCACACGTTAATAGTGGGAGACTTAAACACTCCACTCTCACTAATGGACAAGTCATTGAGACAGAAATGAAACATTTCACCCAACACAAAAAAAATACCTTCTTCTCAGCAACTCATAGAACCTTCTTCAAAACTGAAGGGTTTGTGACCATATAGTAGGTCACAAAGCAAGCCTCAACAGATAACAGCAAAATTGATGATTCAATATAGAAAAATCC